TGTTAGGCACTAAGGTATGGCTTTACTGCAGTCATGTTCCCAAAGGAAAATCACCAAAACTCCTTCAAAAATGGGTTGGTCCCTATTCTATAATTCATCAAGGCCCAAACCACACATTCAAACTAAGAAGTGATGCCACACACAAAATTCTAAAGAGTCTTGTTCATGCCAAAAGACTCATATTATATCATAGTCCAAATGACAGACCTCACTATTTCCTACCAGAATATCAGGATGTGGTTCTGAATCCTGAAGAATTGGATGGAGAAACGACTGAGGAAAACTATCCAGCTAATGCTAACCAGCATCCTGCAAATGCAAACCAACATCCAGATAATATTGATCAACATCCGGATGATGATGATGAAAATCTGCCTCTACCTGAAGATGATGTCGAGGACAATGTTGATGATAATGACAAAAGCATTAGAGATGCAGCTCATGATCCCCAACAACATAATCCTCAACCACAACCATCAACTTCAAAACCAAAGAATAACAATAAAACTGCAAATAAACATGCAAAGAACTTACCAAAATGCAATGAATCAAAGGATAAACAACCAAAACTCTTTTCATCAGACCAAATCGAAAGAATCCTTGAGTACAGCCTTTACCAAGGAAAACCTATCTACAGAGTCAAATTTACAAATGAACCTCAAACTTCCTGGCAAGATGGAAATCAAATCTCCACAACCCTCAAGGACACATTCCATTCACTCTACAATGCCAAGGGAAAGAAAAGAAAACATCCACAGAAAAAGAAATTTTTTGACCAACAAGAGACAATTCACACCATAAATCCAATGCAAAAGAGCAAACAGGCAATCATCGCTGCAATAATTGATTGGAAAGAAACCAATTTTCGCTTCCTTCTATCTGATGATTATGGCAACTACCAAGAAGGTATACCTTACAGTCTTCCAAGAGAGGTTCCTGGCCATTTATTTAGAACCTTCTTCAATAAACTGGACCATGAAATTGCAGAATCTCACAAAAGAACAAAAGGACAACTTAATTCAAACAGTTGCCAGTACATCCCAATTTCTTCTGTCCATTCATTTCCACACAGAACCACTTTCTTTTGGCATCACTCTACACCAGAAAAAGCCAAATGGTTACCAACCTGCTATTCATCTTCTGAGGGTATTCTCGCCTCCAAAATCAAACTTCGCAATCACGCAAAACTCTTTCACCCTGATGCTGATTTCTAAATTGATACTCCACCCATTCTATATTAATAAAAGTATTAACAACATGAAGATTTTTTTTAATTTAATCTTTCTATAAGTTAGGCCATCTAGTGTTTTTTCTGTGCCCTGTCCTACAGTGCTAGATAGTGTGAGGCGCCGCACATTATCATTATTTTCTAAGGACGCAGGAAAAATATTATACCCAAAATATTAAAGAATAACATGTTTGTCCCCCTCCTTTTTGATTCCTTTCCCTTTGAATATATAAGTATTTAGGTTTTCAACTACTAGTAAATAATATACTGGATGGCATTAGAACACCTGTGAGTCATGAACCAGCAGAAACTACAATAGTTTCTTAATCTGCTGAGGAACGGTGTAATGCTTCATTTCAGTAATAATTTCTTATTACTTTTTGTGTAAGAATAAAGTTCTCATACCCTCATGTTTAACCTATTATAATGTATCACCTATTCTTTCCCATACATTAAATTATTTTCAAGACTTTCACACTTAAATTTAAGTAAAAGTAATCTGTAGGTATAGCTTCTTGTGTCACATGTAGATTTTTAGTGGTTGTACTTTCTTGCCACTCTCCCTGACTACAAAAGATTTGTGTGTAATTCATTGACAGTTCATTTTTCCATAAGTTTTGCAGGAAACTATGCTGATCGACCCACTTCTCTTCCCAAGGTCATCAAAATTGTGCTATGATGGCACTCCCTATACCAGCCAGGGATGTCATAGCTGTCTGTGAATTTTGGTCATGATGGAACTCCTTCCTAAGGATGTTATGACTAGTGACTCTGTACTATACCACCATGATGGAACTCCTGTTTGTGGATGTCATGGTGACCACTAATCATGATGGAACTCTCGATTGAGATGTCATGATAACTTCTGCTGAATCCTAATGGAACTCCCAATGGGATGTTAGGATACAATGCAAGCAGTCAACGATGCATATTCAATGAAACCCCAAAGAATTTTTCGAAGGACATACCAATGAATCATTTCGAAGGACATTTTTCAGTGCAAATATTCCAATCCAGAAACATGTAGATTTCAAAGGACACAGTTCTTATTTCAGAATGAATAAGAATATTCCAATTCATGAACTATATAATTGTGCTTAATTGTTGTGCAACAATGTATTCCAAATGAATTTGCAAATGAACTCCAAAGTACTATTCAAATGAACAAATTTCAAAAGACACTTTTAATAGCATGCTTATTTGTTTTCAATGTTTATTTTTTATTGCATTGTACATGCAAGTCTTAATCATTTTCTTTTCGTCGTAAAAGATTTTATTGTGGGCCCTTGTATATATATATGTAAAACATACTTATCATTACTTACATTCATTCTAGCATAATTCCTACCAATTAGGATGCTATTTATGTATATATTTTTGGTTGTTAATTGTTCTTATGAACTTTTCATTCTTACTTTCTGACCCTACAATACCTTTAGGTTAAGAAAATTTTCTTCAAGAAATTTAACCTGGTTAGGCTATCAGATACAATTGTGTATATATGTAGTTATACATTTGGTAGCTGTTTGTTTAAAAAAAAAGTAGGGTTATAATGATTTTTTGTAATTATGGAAGTTAAGGTATTTTAAGATTTCAGGAGAAATCTTTTTGGTGAAGTAGGGGGAGCATATCACCAGTGAAATGGCTCCCATTTCACTTTTGATACTTATTTTAATATAGATAATAATTTTACTTATAATTTTAATATCATTCATAAAATTCATTTACTTTGATAAATTCTTGATATCCTAAGTTATTTGTTCACAAGTAATGAAATTAAACCAACACATTTTACATCTGGCTAATTCTTAATCCCCAGAAATATTTAGTGCTTTCTTAGCAATTGTAAATCATTTACACTCATACTGCCTGATGGCAATGGTCACTGATTAGGTGTTAGATTAATTAAATAAATCTTCTTTGACTTCCTGACATCAAAGGATGACACTTGAGTATTCCATTGTTCAGATTACTTAGTTGACAAGTTTTGCCCTTTGGCTATATTTACATTGAGTAATTTCTTACAATTAGTTAATAATATATATTTGAGAATACAGAGAGTTAAGAGAGATCTAGAGTGACAGAGCTAGTGAGTTGATGTGTTAATTAAGAACCATGTAGGAATTAGACTAAGAAACTTTTAAGATTCTATTTCTATTTAGGCCAGCTTTATCTAAATTTTAGTTAGGACTTGGACTTGCATCTTTATGTTTTTATGTTGTTTGGAATTCACTGTTACTTTAATAAACTGTCATTGTTACCCTACAAATTTGGACTTATGTGCTTCCTAACATTCCCCAAACCCTTGAGCTAAATTCCCCAATGAACGTGCACCGCCGAATTATGTCCCAGACATCTGAGAGCGCGGTCACAGGCCTATAAACTTTCATTTGTTTTTCACACTATTGATTGTTGAATTAACAAATGTTTCCTTAATACAAGATCAGTGATCATTTTTTAGTAATGTAGTAAAAAAACTTAACAAAACTTTAGATTATTTATATTATTTACTTACCTTATAATTATATGTAGATAGTTCCCAGGTTTGATGACTGAATGAAGTTATCAAGCTGTTCCTCTCCTTATATTTTCTAAATCAAGGAAGTAATTCTTGATTTGATGTTTTTGGTTGTTACTCTTATCAGCAAGGTCCATGGTCACGTGATTACTCTCCTTTATTTATCGATTGGCCAAGAAATTTACAACATGCTGGAGAAGTTATTTGTATAGGTGCATTTCAAATCGATTATGTGCTAAAACAAACAAAAAAATTTCTGTTTATGAAAAAATATTTTAGCAAAGAGAAAAAGAGATGTTTTCTGGTTATATTCACTCAGTTCATGAAACAGAGTTTGTGCTTGACTATTGTCCTTTACAATGAGTGAACAATTTCTCAAAGGCCACAAGTCCATTTTCAAACACTTGATTCAAGTAAATATATGTGAAGTGTAGGCCTATGTTTCCTTCTCTAAATGCACATGATTTTAAAAAAAAAGTATATGAGTGAAATTGGTATTGAATCATTACCTGTAAAACCACAGCTTAGAATGACCAACTGCAAGATTGGATGTATGGAATGATTACCTTGGTCTGAATAGTCTACTTGTATATTGATTTTTGAATAGTTGTAAAAGTTCTTTGATTAATGTACAGCTGATTTTTTCAGTAAATTTCTAGGATAGTGAACCAAGAAATTGTATTTGTTTCTGACTATCTCAAACATATACCCCAGTATATATGATGTAGAGAACTTGATATATATTTACACATACATCATTTTAAATACACAGTCAAATCTAGTTATTCCGAACTTGATGGGACTGAGGAAAAAACTTCAAGATACCTGAGGGTTCGATGTAGCGGGGGTTAAATAATTAAGAAATACATAGTTAGGACTTCCTAGTCACTTTGACATATCCATGGTATTTGAGATATCCGTGTTTGAGTTACCGAAGTTCAACTGTACTAGGTATAATGTTCACAGATGTTTCATTGTGAGTTTTTCAAACGTATATATAATGTTTTTATACTACGTGTAATGTATATATTATCATTAGTGCATTCCTTGTTGCACTGTTTGCTTATACAACACTATAGTGTACTTGCCTAGCTATCTCCAATGTCCTGGAGATAGATGAGTTTTAATTAACGCATTTAAGTCAGTTGTCAGTCCCCATGATCTGATATGTGGTCCTGTATGTAATAAACTTTGTATCTATAACGTTGTTGAGTTTTATATAAATCAGAAGTAAGTATTTGTTTTTTGTTGCAGAAACATTCCTATGATATGAGACTTGGCATCATCTTTAACCATGACTCGGTCCTCAGCAGTGACCTGTCCATCACAAAGGCTGTGTACACCGCTCTGCAGACCCTGAGTAACAACCATGCCAAGAGTCTTATCACCAAACTTATCAAGGAGGAAAATGTCGCCGATCTCAAGTTTGGAGTCAAGAAAATACAGGATCTAGAAGTCCATGTAATTAGATACAGCCATTTTGGTTTTTTTTTTTCCTATTGTCATTAACTATTGACCCCAAATAGTTCCCTTTTCAAATGCATTGTTTTTGCATGTATCATGAAAGATGTGGGTTTTTTTTTTTCACTTATTCAGGGAATGGATATGGATGCGTACATGAAGGCTCTAGAGAAGCAAACAACAGACTTCCTGAACCACCATGGCATCTTTGTCAGAACGGTTCTTGGTTGGGGTGAAAGTGATAGAGGACTCATTGCAAATGGAAAGGTTAACTATGTAGTTTTATTTTCATTTTTTTAATGGATTTTTGAAAACATGGTACATGTTTCGAATTAGGTTATTTATAGGTATCTGAATTTTAAATTCAAGGTATATTTATTTCCTTCTTCAAGATTCTGAGAGTTTGGTAATTGGTTTGTACTTGTACATATGTGTAATTCATTCCTAAGCTCAGAAATGGATCTAATTTTCCATTTTGTATTTTAAAATAATAATTCCAACCCTCCTATGTAATTGTATTATGCTATAAGTGTAAATGGTGGTGTGTTTGCTTTATGGTTAATATGTTTCTTTCTTCTGAAGAAAATTAATCTCCATAAAATTTTTCATCTGGTTGTTATAATAAAGAAAGGATCAGAAATGTGAATGAGATGGATTTGAGCAATATTTTTATGCAAGTGGGATAAAACAGAATATAGATATCCTTAAATAAATTGTACAGCTGCTTTGAAGAATGACATATTTGATTATTAGGTATGTGGACCTTTAGATGAAGCTGAGAGTTTCACTGCGGAGGATGTGGACTTGCTGTCTAAAGTGGAATATCAGAATGTGGCCAGGAATATCAAGACACAGATGATGCTGATGAAAATTGATGGCAACAGGTCAGCGATACTGGTGGAGAAGGAGGGGGTGTTAAAAAGATGGGGGGATGGTGGTGGGTGGGAGGGAATGTCACATTGAGTATTAGTTGGTGAGATTACAGTTAGGGTTAACTGTTGACCACAGTTGTAAAAATGGTTGGGGAACGGGATGAGAATATTGAAGGAATTAGTGCTAGATATAAAAGTTCACACAGAACTTGGTCATTAGGTAATGCAGATCTTTACTGAATTGAGAAAAGTTTATGGGTCTGATAAGGTATCTCATGAGACAATTCGTAGGTAGTTCGTTGGTGGACAAAGAAAATTCTGACTGGCACAGAGCCCATCAAAGATGCAGCAAAATCTGGCTGACCTGTGACTGTAACAGGCAAGGCAAATGTCTCAAAAGTCAGGGAAATAATTGAAAGTGATAGCAGATGATATTGCCAAAGCTGTTGGCATGTTGCTATTGCAGATACATTTCATTTTGAAGGGTATTTTGAAAGTACGAAAGATTTTTGCCAGATGGATACCACATATATTGACAGATGACCAAAAATGGGTAAAGTACGAACTACTAACCAATTGCTCAAAATGTTTCCTAAATTCAATCAAATTAGACAATTTGCAAACAATGTTACTGGTGACAAAACATGGGTTCAGTATTTCAAACCAGTAAGAAAAATTTGAAACAAAATATGGCTAACTAAACATGGTAGAAGGCCAGTAGTTGCCAAAAGAACCATTAGCACAAAGTTCTTTATTGCATATTCTTCTCATGTAATGGTATAGCCGTACAAATTCTGGTGCTGAAGGGCAAAAGTGTTACAGGTCGGTATTACTGAGATGTTATACTAAAAAAGCTCAAGAAATATTATCATAAACGACACCCTATGTCAGGATTTAGGCATGTTTGTCTACTTCATGATAATGCTCCATCTGAGCTTGAAGTCAGAGAAGGTTACCGTCTTGCCACACCCACCATTCTCTGCAGATCTAGCCCCTTGCGACTTTTTCCTTTTTCCAAAACTTCCAAAGTTCTTATCTGGTCGTCGTTACAAGTCCCGACAAGCCCTTGTCTCAGCCATCAGTCAGTGCCTCAGAGGTCTACCTAAATCAGGGTACCGTGACACATTTCAGAGATTCAGAGATTGAAACTATGTATTTCATACAGTGGAGAATACTTTGAAGGGATGTATTGTTTGTTTCACTATTTGAGTCGAATGCTGTTGAAATATAGTATAATACAATTACATATCAAACAATCCTTGTATGTGTATTTAGTGGTTAAAGTTATATTTCTATGTACTATTTCGATTGCATGACATATTGTTATATTTTAGGGGAGAAACCTTTAAGTTGTAAGAACTTGCTTCTAATCTTTTTGATTCATTCAGTAAAATATGTTCAAAAATAACAGAAGGAATCATGCATTATAAATCATTAAAAGAAGGAATATTAACTATGGTATTGTACAAAGCACAAAGCAATTTATTGAAATGCAAAGAAACAGTTTGAAAATTATAATCTGTGATTTGCAAATGTCATGATATTGTTAGCTAATTTCTAAAGATTTTTTTTTTCACAATGCAATTTACAAAAAAAATATTTTCAGACTGTGACATGGGGGTCAATTCTTCATAATTTGTATTTTATTTAACAGAGGAAGTGAACTTGTCATGAAAATTTCCTCACTCCTCTCATCAAAAACCTCCAACACAGAGAGAAAGGACTTGTCTGGCTTGAAGGACATGCATAGGTGAGAGAGCAGTGAGTCGTAATGATTCCTGAAAATCTTTTAATATTTCAAAAATGGAGAGTAGATTTATAAGCACACTTGGTTAAAGAAGCAATATGGTATGGTACATGACATGTCATGCTAGAATGGTTATTTTTTGTTTACAGTGCAGTAAAGCTACCTGCCAGTCCAGACTCACCAGCATACCAAATTGAGGCTGTTCTTGACCCTGTGTCACAGGAAGCTCAAAAGATTACACCTATGATCAAGGTCAGTATCAGTGACCAAAAAGAAGAAAAAGAAAAGAAATTTGTATTTCATTGACTGTTTTTATCATTGAATTATGCAGGGGAAAAAAATTAAATTTAACCATACCTATTTTTAAAAATTAAATATCTAATTACCTAAGATATGTTTTGATTCGTTTATCAATATTGTAGGTGCTGAGAGAAGTGGCTAATGTTGATGTGAAAATTTACATGAACTGTAGAGATAAAATTTCTGAGATGCCTGTAAAAACGTTAGTATTTTTTAATCCTGTTTTATTAAAATTGTGCAATCAGTTTTTGTGTAATAGAAAATCCTACCCAACTTTTCCTTTCTTTGGAGACTTTTAGATTATTTTGTACATGAACATATATGGGATATGTCAATTTTCCTGTTGAATCAAGATTCAATTTAGCATTTCTTTAGTTATCACTTTGATAATCTTTTCTTTTAATCAATATTTTACATATTTCATATCCATTTCGTTTATGTGTATCACAGTTATTATCGTTATGTACTGGAGCCGGACTTGGTCTTTAAGCCTGATGGAAGTTTGACTTCTGGTCCAGTGGCCAAGTTCACAGATCTCCCTCAGAAGTCTATTCTGACCATGGGGGTCAATCCTCCAGAGAGCTGGCTCGTGGAGTCTGTGAAAGCCGCCCATGATCTGGACAACTTGTTATTGGAGGAGGTAGGGGATCACAATTTCAGGGAGAAGTCATAGTTTGATTATAGTCATTTTAGGGAGTAGTCATTGTATAATTATAATATTTTATTTTCGTTGTAGGTTGAGAGTGGGGTTACTGCAGAATTTGCTCTTGAATATATCTTAATAGAAGGTACGGTAATTATTTTTTAATTGAAAATTTGATTTTTTTCATTGAAATATTGCTAAGCTTATGTTATCTTCTTAATAAAAATGGCTTTGTATTTTTGAAAAGGAGATACAGATTTTTTTTAGAATTCAAATTATGATTGGCTCTGATAAAACATATGCTATAATATCATATTCTAAAATATGTTTTCATAATCAAAATAGGTTTGAAACTCTAAATGGAAGCTACATTTACATGTCACAGATACAAAAGATGCATATTTAGTTGCGTTTTCTAAGCAATATTTCCTTATATCGCATGACATCCTTTTGAAACTTTGTGAAAACTTTTTCCCAGCGATAGGCAATTCTTTTTATCATGTCACATTCAAGGTCATGGAAAGTAAACCATATTCAATGTATACTGCAGTTTTCTTTATTTTGACATCACATTTACAGGCCACTGCTCAGACACTACCTCTGGACAACCACCCCGGGGATTACAATTTACTCTGGGCACCAATGCCTCCAATCCACTAGTGGACACCATAGTTATGGCTAATCTGGTAATTAATCATATTCCCTTCCTCCTTTTTTTGTAAAATTTTTTAGAAGTTTCATTTGTGTTCTTACATGAAAAATTATATTTGTTTGGATAAAAAATTTTCTTCCTGTGAAATTTTTTTTTATTAAAATTATATTTTTAACTTGTTTTAGCAAACATCTACATACATGTAAATGCCTTTCTTTCTTAGAAGCAGACTTTTATCCTGATATTTATCCAGGATGGTGATTTTATTTCTGAAAGAGTACATATAAGGGTAGTTTTCAAATTGTTTGATTAGTTTTTTTTTTTTGTTGGTTAGGGTTACTTTCAACTCAAGGCCAATCCAGGGGTTTGGTTTCTGCAGCTTAGAGAAGGGAGGTCCAAAGACATCTACAACATAGTTGGGTAAATGTCTACATGTTTCTACAACAGAGTATTGAAAATATTTTGATTTTTTTTCTACACATTATGTATCCATTACAAATCCTAGACACAGCAATGATCTTGCATTCATGAGAGCTGTTCATGAAATGGAAGAAAATGCATGTACATTTGAACTTCAGTATCTTGATTACTGACATTTTGAATACTATGAACATATTGAAGTGATTTGGAAGTCCCAACCCCTTTTCTTTAAGTATTTTACCCGGATATCTCAAATCCTTGGATATCTTGAAGCTTTTTCTCAAACTAAAATGGGGCAGATAACATGATTATTTGTTTCTTTATTTAACAGACATGAAATGACAGATACACCTGTGGGTTCTGATGATGTGGTTGTTGCTATAAATAGCTTCAAGAGTAAAATTATTCGGGTCAAGGTAAGTTAAGTCAAAGTAATGAAGATGACACATCCTTTCATAATCTTAATAGCAAGATTGATTTGATAAAACACACTTAAGGAAGCTTTTCACTGAAAATAATATTCAAATAAATTTATATACAGTAATAGTCATGATAAATAATGTGACAGTTTTTGGTCTGGAACAATGAAAGATCCCTATTCTAGTCCATTTAATATGTTAATTGTGGTCAATGCTAGTTTGAACTAAGCGGTTGTTCAACTTTGGATTTTGATGGAGACACATATGCATCCCTAAAACTAAAGGTATAAATTTTGATTTCTAATTATGTTATTTTAGGTTGAGAAGAAGAAGGATAAAATAATGGAACAGTTGTTGAAGGATGAAGATGATGAAAAGAGTATCTGGGACTCTATATCTAGGTATAAAGAAATCTTCTTGTATATCTACATTATCAACACTTTGTATGAGGCCAACTTTGAAATAATGTTTGTTTGCTTGATGTCCATTTATTATATTAAAATGTATATTTGAATATAGTTTGACTGTGAATATTTATTTATAAAAAAAAGATGAAAAAAAGACTGAAGAGCTGTTTTCTAGCATTGTGAATTTGAGATTTATTCAGCAGCTCTTTGTGGTTTCAGATGGTTTTAGTTGTATACTTAAATAGCATATCCTGCTGAAAATGTTTATCAATCATCTGCATGGAGTTCAAATACTTACAGTATTCAGGAGCAATATTTTGCATTCTTATAGTTGAATATAGTAACTTTTTTTTTTCTATTTTCAGTTCATTTAAACCAAAAGAAGAAACTGAAGGAAAGGTTTTAAATATTTTCTCCTTGGCTTCCGGTCACATGTATGAGAGACTTATGAGGTACAATATTAATGTTATGTTAAATGCAGTATTTCAGTTTCTGTGTAAATGGTTTTTACATTGACAAATTTATAAAAGTTGGAGGTGTTCCAAATAAATCTTTTAAGTATTTTTTTTCTTGAAGAATTAATTCTTTTTTCTTCTGTCATTTTCAGAATAATGATGTTGAGTGTATTAAAACATACAAAATCCCAAGTGAAATTCTGGTTTTTGAAGAATTACCTTTCACCTTCTTTTAAGGTAAAACATTACCAACATAAGTGGTGATAAGTATATAAAGAGAAGTTAACAAACTCTTTACTTACAATTTTGCTTGTTTGAGAGCTAGTATATGTACACGTGCTTGTGTTATTTTTCCTCAGGATTTCATACCAAAAATGGCAAAAGAGTATGGTTTTGAATATGAACTAGTTCAGTATAAATGGCCAAGGTGGTTAAATCAGCAAAAAGAAAAGCAAAGAGTCATGTGGGGGTAGGTCATCTTTGACTTTGTAATACTTTTTAAATTTTAAAAAGTTCCCATGTGTCTACATGTACTTGTAAGATGTGAGAGATTAGATAGACCTATTGTCATATGTTTTAATTAAGGCATAAATTCAAGAATAATTAATGAAATAATAACATTTAACAGATTTTGTGATTTCGTACTTTTCGCAGGGATGGGTTTAGATTTTGTTGAACTTAAGCATGAATTTCTTCGATTTGCAGATACAAAATCTTGTTCTTAGATGTGTTATTCCCCTTGGATGTGAAGAAAATTATATTTGTTGATGCAGATCAGGCAAGTACTATCACAACTTTCCCACATATTTATTATTTATCAAAATATATTTATAGTGATCTATTTTTATGTGTGTTTTTTCCCTATAGGTGGTAAGGACCGATTTACAGGAGTTAAATGACCTTGACCTTGAGGGTGCTCCTTATGGATACACACCATTCTGTTCCAGCAGGAGGGAAATGGATGGATTCAGGTATGTCTATGTCAGTTTTGCTTTATGTGTCCTAGCAAATTGCATTTTGGTAAACCTTGAACAAAACTGACCACTTACATTTCTGATTTTAATTAAATCTTATAAATTATGTGGGTTCACTTTAAAATAAAATTTATTGAAATAGATCAAGTTTACAGTATATTAAGTTTATAGTGTCGATCAAAGTAACGAATGCAGTTTATTTTAACATTTTCAGATTTTGGCGATCAGGATACTGGGCTAGTCATTTAGCTGGAAGAGAATATCACATTAGGTAAGTTAAATCTTAAAACTGAGGAAAACATGAACAGGACATCTAAAATTAGAATTACAATGTTTTGAATTTGGTATCTACACAAGACAGACCTATTAAGTTTTAATTTCAAAGTGTATATGTAAAACCAGTTGTAAGAAGAGAAATCAAACATTTATAGGCTTTGTTGATGTACATACCCTATCAGTAGTGATTCACATAAAACTTTTATTCCTTTTGGTAATTTACTTGAGTTACACTTATATTTTTATGTTGTATATACATGTAAAATATATCTTTACATCACTTTTTAAACAGTGCCTTATATGTTGTGGATCTTAAAAAGTTCCGTCGTATAGCTGCTGGGGATCGTCTCAGAGGTCAATATCAGGGACTTTCTCAAGACCCAAACAGTCTGTCCAACTTGGACCAGGATCTACCAAATAACATGATCCACCAGGTGGCAATAAAATCACTTCCTCAGGATTGGTTGTGGTGCGAGACATGGTGCAGTGATGAGTCGAAGAAGACAGCCAAAACTATAGATCTGGTGAGAGCATGGAATTTCATTTTGGATAAAAGTAATAAATAATATACATATAGAGCTGAGTAATTCATTCTTAGACATCTAGGTATATGCATAAGATTTCAAGGGTTTTTATCAGGTCAAGGTCCTATCTAAGAAATTGAAGGTCAAGTACAGATTTGTCCTTATAGGACTTTGACATAGCCAAAGGGAGGGCATTGTTTTCAAAATTGTGCATTATTTATGTATGCCATTTGTTAGATTGTTCTAGCAAACAATTTAATTTTCATTCACAAAAAGTACATTTAAATACTTGTTAATTTATAAAAATTCTAAATTAAGGATTCATCAGTATTTGTTGTTTTATTTGATAGTATTGTCAAATAACTTGATTTTGGTGATTTTTGATTTTTCAGTGCAATAATCCTCTGACAAAAGAACCTAAATTAAAAGCAGCATTGCGTATATTGCCAGAGTGGAAAGAATATGATTATGAAGTAAAAGTTTTGTGGGATAAAGTTTATAAGACAAACACACGACTGCAAGTAGAATATGAACCACCGAATATAGACGAAAAGAAAATAGGTAAGGCTGTTATGTTCTGTTAGGTGTTTCAGAATTTTTTTTCCAAGAGCTGTACCAATTTGTGCAGGTAAAAAATCTTTACCCTTTAAGCCATAGGCTACTCAACAGATATTATTAACTAAACATTTATATGATACACTGTTTGAAATTTAGAGCATTAAAAAATATTTATGAAGTGTGAAATGAACTACCAGTAAATTGTTCTGTTCAAATGTGTTCATACACTGCACAAAACATATCTTAAAAGATGAATACTCAGGCTGGTGATTGAAAAGAAATTTCAATGATGTATATTTGGTGTTTTCAATTTATACCCTATAAATGGATGACCAGCCTTTCTTGTGTTTAAAAATAATTATCACAACAAATCAAAAGATGCTAGATTTTGACTCATTATAAATCTTTAAAAAAATTGTATACTACTATATGTGTATCTTCTGAAATAAAGAAAAATAAACCAGATTCATGTGATATTATGCTGAGTAAAATTTTGTTTTTTTCTCTCTTTTTTCAGGTTCTAAATTACATTTACACGATGAGTTATAACATTGGTACAGCGTTAGTGATTTGTAGTCCTCAGTACAGGAGAGAACACATCTGGACCAAATTTTAAGTAATATATTATTGAAGCAGCAACAGTCCTCATCTTCATATCATCAGATATGTCTGGGATTTAAAACTTTTAAAATCATGTATTTAAAGTAAAAAATTAGCATTTGAAAAGCCAATAAGTATACTATCTATCATGCTATTTATGGGATAGGGAAGTTAAGGTTCATTGACCTTCTGATAAGAGAGATAACTCTGTGATTAATGACTATATCATTCCCTTAAGAATTTGTGGAGTTAAAAGGACAATTTTTCTCTCAATTTTTCTCCACAAGGTATGCAGAAATTGTGTGCCTTTCAATTAAAATTTAGATTTTTTTGAAATTTTTTTTATTAAAACAAAATTTTATATGAATGAACAGAGGGGTGAAGAACCTTAAATAGGCTTAAGTCATTTAAGATTTGTCTCCATGGGAATTTTGTATAAATTGGTTGGTGTTTGTGATTCCACTTGCAAATGTTTAAGAGAATTGAAAAAAATGTATGGAAAAAATATATGAGTGAGTGAAATTTGTATGAAAAATGTTGAGGGATATGTGTGAATGAGCTAGATTGGTGAATTGTGAAATATACACTTCATGTCTGTTTTCGTCTTGTTATAGATAGGAGTTGTTGTCATTATTCTTTTTTATAGTGATTCATCAAAAATTAAATATCACTTACAAAATACATGTACTGGTAAGTGAAATTTTGGTTTATGGTATAAAATAAGTTTATGTTTTGTATACGGTGCTTTGCAAAAATTGTGACATTGTTTCAAACACACACTTCCATTTTTGTTGGATATAGTGAGGTTACTTATTAAATAAGATGTTTTTTTGTTGTGTTTTTTTTTTCTATACTGCATATTTGTCAAAAATGTTTAATGATGTGGATTTGAGTTCTAGATGTGTGTGTGAATTATAGTATATAAATTTCCAGCAACAGTGAATATTTTTTAAATATGTGATGCATTTTGAGGGACTGTCAGTTTTTCATGATGTATTTGAAACAATTAAGAAATCTGAACCCCCCTTGCCAAATACCTCGTCATTCATTATTCTGAAATCAAATAATGCTTTTGGCATTTGAGTACATTTTTTATTTGGTTATGTGTCAGTATACTTAAAAGAAGATGGGCGAACAAGCCAAGAAAAATGCCTTTGGTTCGACAAATAAGAAAGTGAAAAATTAAATCTCATATAACATATTTTTCTTTGATATTTCAGTAACATTAATGTATACTTTATGTAAAATCTCCAACCCTCACGACAATCTCACAAGTGTTCAAGCTGTTTGTCTAAGAAATAGCATGCCCACACCAAAGAGGGCAAAAGGTATCATTTCTTTGTACAATAACATAATTTTTCTACATGTATATAAGTGGGTCTTCATTCTGTTTTGGTTTTAAAAGTGTATCCTCAATATGTGTTTCAAAATACATTTTTTGCTGAACAAAAACTTCAAACAAGTCAGTTTTATCAAGGGTCATATTACAAGCAAGATTTAAATGCCACTTACTGTTATGAATTGTGCGTTGTAGTGCTTAGTGTGTCAGTCTCAAAGAAAAAGTGATACTGGTATCCAAGATTTTTATCACTTTGGTTCAAATCCCAAGAAATCATTATTATTTTTTTTTTTACCATAGAATAATTTTTGCAGAGAGAATTTTTCTGCAGAAAAGTTTTCTTTGTCATAATTTCATACCTTTCAAAAATTAGAACTTTGTTCTAAATAGTTCACAAATTGAATTTTATTTTTACATATTTGAAGCTATAGGCATTTTGCATGCCTTGTATGCCTATCTTTTTGATTGAATTTGAAGTTTTCATATCATGATGATAATGCAGGTACACATATTTTAATTGAGCCAACTTATGTAATGAGTACTTCATAATTATCATAGATCGGATGCAGAGTACACAGTACTTAGATAATTAATGCCATAATAATGATTATTGGAGTTCAATGATTGAATGATATCCACTAGAAGTTTGTTTTCATCATTAATCCCATAACCCAATTTCTCTGAATGAAAAAAAAATCATTTTTTTTCTCTCAACTAAAAACCAAAAAATTTTCATATAACATTTAATAAATTTTGTATTTAAAATTTTGAAATAGCTTATAATTGTTGTTTAACATTAAACTTCTTTAGTTTTCATTTCCTCGAATATTTCCATTTTAGGACATTTTACAGCCATTGTGTGGACATTGTTCTGTGTCATGTTACAAGCATTGAAATGTGTATGTTTTACATTGTTCACGTTATGTCTGTGACAGTGTGTAAAGACAGGATCTTCTGTGATGACAGTTAATAAATATATTTTGTAAATAAACCTAAAGGACTTTGTTCCGTTGAAATATCTTTTACCAAAGTCATAATAAATCAGGAAGCTGATATGTTTTACTAAACATTGGGAGATTGGGGGAGGATAATAGATTTAGGGATATCAGACACCTATGTTTTGTGGATCTGACAGTTAAAGCTGACTTCAGGTGGATTAAAATTAAAAATTCCAATTTGGGTTCAACAGATTTGCCCCCCCCCCCTTTTTTTTTTTGCTTGTCAACATTTTTCAGGAGGAAGGAAAAAAAAACTGTCCCTGATCATCTTGAATATAAATAAGCTCTTCACTGACATGAAAAAATAATCTGACTTGAGAAAAGATTACCAGCCCATCCCCCCCCCCTCCTTTCTGAATCAAACAGTCGTCCCCTTAGCTCTTCATACTCAAAAATTTTCATGATTGGGGTGACGTACATATAAACTCTACATCAAAATAATTTAGCAACTTAGACCTACAAGTTTTATGTAGGTCTAAGTTGCAGAATTATTTTGATGTAGAGTCTGTGCTTGCTTGCATATTAATTGTAACTGTGACCAGGTGACCTCGGTCTTTAACTATATATGTCACCATCGAGTTAAATTCACGGAAAGGGCCAATGTTAACATTTATTGAGCAATAAGTCTGAACACAAACATTTTAAATACTTATTACATTTCACACGTTATTATCAGAGTAGCAATTCACAGCAGTTTGAAATTTTTTTTAAATGATAGCCGGAATAAAACGATGATTTGCCGATACAGAAGGGACGATAGGTCAACGAGATGGGTTGAAAGTTAAGACACTAGACCAGTCTAGAGTAATTGTAAGGTGAAAACTGAGCACGATATAGAGAGAGAGGTGTTAATATTGAGAATGCCGGGTTGAATATATGGAGCACTAGGGCAATATTTGGTACACATTCTACAGAGGGTCAACTGCATCCTATTTATTTAATAAATTTAGCACTTGTGAGAGTTAACAAATGACTTCTTACAACACATAGCCGTATGAATCGGGGGTAAGGGAGTGGACGTGCCCCCCCCCCCCCCCATGATATGTTTGACCCATATGGGTGTATTATGCAATAAGGAAATAGTTGATTATTATTATACTATAGAAAACATTGCTAGTTTATGCTTGTACCCGGCTCTCAATAATAACGTCTGATTTCCTTTTTCTTTGTTGCTTGTCAAGGAATTTTGCTTGGTATAGCATCCCCAACTGAAAAAATCCCCCCCCCCCAACTGAAATTGCTTCCCACGCCGGGCCTACATGTAGACTTTCTTGAAATCATTATATATGTAAGTCAGTGTAATCTAGACACAGTTTGTTGAGATAGTGTTCAACAACATTTTCTTACTAAGCAGTAATTATGTTATTTTAATATTCAAAGTCTATGTCAGATTTGAAATTCTTCTGAAACATAACTGTATTTTAAATACCTATATATCTATTCTAAAGGAAAGAATGGACAACCAAAAAAAAAAAAAAGGAATAAAATTATACCGTATATTCTTTAATAATGCGTGGATGGATGTTAAAAAGTAAGTGAAAATCTATCAGGCCCATAGCATTTTTTTTTCAAAGTGGATAGCCAACCAGAAAAATAAATGACAAGCAAGAATAAAAAAAAAGATTCGGGTTTTTTTTCGGGGGGGGGGGGGTACAATATAAGGTGAAAGTTCACCATTCAACAAGAAAGAGTGGAGGGTTGGAGCAGTCGGGCCATTATTCGTATGTATTCGTACTGCCTATAAGTATGAAGGAAAAGTGCCCCTCCCTTTTCCGGGCCTGTTTAGTTATGATTTCAATTAAAACGTCTTATTCCTTTTTTTTTGGTCACATTTGGAAATAATAGGCAAATCACAAGATATTATAATATGTAGTTTATTCCACTTTTTGTCTAAAATATTTTTTACCTTAAAGTTAAAAGGTGGAGGGGTGTCACACGCCCTCTATATATCCATATGTGGGTCAAAACACTGTACGAACATCGAGTGCTTTTGTACCGTACATCTATAAGCAGTACGGTGAATATGGAGGACAGAAGGAAGAAACACATGTTAATATTGAGAATGCTGGTGAATATTAGGATCATGGAGGTAAATATTCAGAACTGAGTTCGATTACACTGTAAATATAGAGGACATATTTCCAGAGGGGGAAGGTCATGAAAGAACGAGATATTGATTTCGCATAAAAGAAACATATAATTGACGCGCTTTTTTTTTTCTTTAAAGTTAAACAGGCTGTTTGTTTGTTTGCATTTCTCTCGAGAATATTTGGTACATCACAGGCACTAACGTATATATGGTGTAATTCCCCTTCTTTTTTCAAAAATAGTATTTTTCTTTAAATAAAACAAAATAAATAAAAACTACTTGAATTCCTAGCATATGATTCCTCAAAGCTGATAGCTATAGCTGTCATCATTTCCCGTTTAGTTATGTTTAAGAGATTTCTCCTCTACCAGTATATAAAAAAAACACCCCCTTTCCAGAAATATGTTTTTTTTTTTTTTTGAGTTTGGAAAATTAATTTACAGTTTTTAAAAAAAGATTTTTCTTCGGCTTGTCGATTATTTATCAGGAGAGAAATTAATTAAGAATTGCAAGAAATATACCCTCAAAGATGCAGAAATTTCCAGCACATATCACCACCTGCTAAAAACCTCAAAAATTTTTAATTTATCACTGGCTGTTTTCTGTTCTTGAAATCTATCGTTAAAAAAAACCCTTCTATTTAACCCTAAAGGTCCTTGTGCCTTCAGTCTATAATCTTGCAGTTACGAAGGACAATCGATGCATTATAATCACTTTAGAAACATCGATCGTACATACATGTAATTTTCAATTCAAATTATCATTTAAACTACATCATTGAAACCATTAATCTTGTTATATTTAATGACCCTTCTGCATATCTGGAGCATTTAATTGTCCTTCATATTCACCCTGAACCCGTAGACAGTTCTAAATATTCACCTCGGCTCCTGGTATTTATGCGCAGATTTTCGAATAACATTTCCTCGTTCTAACCCATTTTGCTCAATAGACTGCAATAAAGAATGGTCTCTAAAGTCTTTTATACTGACGTCACTTTTTTTCTTCCATACATGTATATCCGACAGGTCGACTTCTAAAAATTATATACATGTATGCTAATTTAAACCCCGTTCACATGCGCTCATTTACAGGTGTAAATTTTACATATACAGTGAAACCTGTCTTATCCGACATGCTGCGGGAAATAAAATCAATGTCGGATTAGGCAGTGTGTCGGATTACCCAGTGTTGAATATTTCTGAGCATTATCATATGTGTCAGACGACTTCATACGAAAAAAAAATCATTTTTCGTTAGGTTAAGAATACACTTATATTTAATTGTCAACGTGTTTGCATAATTGTGTGTTTCTTTGCTGTATAAAATAGATCTGATTAGCATTTCTTTGAGAAACAGCGTTTGTGATATAGCATTAGTAAACTCTGTACTTTGTAGTAATATACGACGTTTTTCTTTTTTTTTAATGGCCAAATCATGGAACTGCCGATCGCTTCGAGATGTTGCAATTTAATTTTTACTTACTGACAGTCGATATTAAAGTAAATATTTCGTCTACCTTCTCTACACAGTGGTATTATTTTTTTCTACAGATTTTCGCCATTGTTTATTTCTCAACATAGACTGTGCTATTAATACCGTCACGCGACTTTTCATACAAACGGGACGTAACTCTAAAACTGTGATTGCGATTGAATTTTAATCAAACAGACGTAATATTTTAAATTTAATGGGCAACTGAAGACGGTATTTTTTGCTTTCGGCGAATCTTTTATGTACACAGCCTCGCTTGATTCAGTGTATATTAATCCGGAAATGAAGCGTTTTCTATACGACAAGATGCTGCCTTTCAAATTGTGTATTGTGTTACACAGTAGTTCGCCGTACTCATTTTTTTTTTTCATAACATGGTTTTACGAAGGACCGTGAATGCATATTTGATTTTAATTTCAAGCTGAAAATCTTATTTATTCTATTCTGTAAGGTAAAGGCGATCTAAACATCATGTACTCTTTTTATTTTCTGTCGCGTGGATGCTATTTTTTCAGTGCAAGAATAAAATTGATAACAACAGGGACATATATATAACAACAGAGAAATGATTGCCTAATTTTTAATTCAAAAACTGTTCGTTTATAATTGCTTACATAAACACTTTCAAACTCGTACATGTAATTAACTACTCTCTAAGTAGACCAATCTTGTGACCAAGATACAAATTTAACTCTTGGTGTGTAAATGTAACTTTTGCGATGCTTTCACTTTAGTCTAGCACTGTATGTAAATCAGTATGAAGTTTGCAAATTTAAAGTATTTTGTGAATCAGACACATAGTATCGGGGGGGGGGGGCACTTTTTTCCAAACATTACTTTCTACTATTGAAAATTTTCATTGGCTGGTTCCCTTCAACCCCCCCCCCCCCCCACCTTTCTTTTGCAGTGTAGTTAAATAAGGGTATTGTGGTAATGTATATAATATATGAATAAAGTTTTAAAAAGCTATGAAAGAAGTTGGAACTTCCTTCATTTCACTTGAATGCAAATTGCTTTATGGCAAAATAGAAGATATGAGTAGAATATCATCGTATAAAGAAAATATAAACAATGTAAATCATGCAAATAGAAGGTACAGCGAAATTATGAATCCCGAACGTTATGTATATAACTATAAAATAAAATAAAAATATTTCCATAGATTTTACAAGACCATTGGGGATCTTCAGGAAAAAAAATGCCTAAAATTATATATATTATGTACATTTAAAAAGTTTGATTGACAGTCCATTTGTTTTTTTATTGCACAAGATGTTGTGTATCATAACTTTATTTCGCCTAATATTCAGTGATCTTTATCATGTACAACTACATATAATTTATATGAGAATAACTCAAGGGATGGTTAAATAGGAGAAGCTAGGTAGTCGATATTCAGAGATACGCAATTTATATTTTGTATATATATCATAGGTTTTTTTAACCACTTGTAAAATATAGTTTACTAAAGATTCCATTTTTTAGAATCGTATTTTCATTGCATGCCTAAAGTTTACAATCTGACAGATGTAAAAAAAAAAAAAAGCTTCTGGAAAATATTTATTGCATTCCTGATTAATTTATTAGTTTTATTGAATTCAGAAATATATATTTAGCTATTTATTGACAATATATATTTTTCCAAGCGTTTTCCACGATTGTACTATATTCAGTCAATCTAATTAGATCTTTGATCCGCGCCAACTAGATCACTTTGTGTAGCGATCTAATTGGAGCGGATCAAAGATCTAATTTTAATTTGATTGATATTCAGCAATCATCACGATGGAAATACAATTGTATAAAAATCACCACTAAAAGTGTATTAATTTCTCGTATACCACTTTAATATGGGCAAGGTGCATAAAAATATTCAGGAATATCAAATCTCTCGTAAAATAAGCAAATGTTTTCTTTTGTCTAAAATTTTCAAATGTGAATCAAGAATTCGAATATCGATGGAAAGAATTAACGAAACAGCACAAAAATTAACATCACCCAAACATAAAGAAATAAAAAAAACAACAACAACAACAACAGAGTAAGATTTCATTCCTTCTGACTAGGTACAGAAATCTTTCATATATAACTAAAGAAACGAACATAACAACATTTATAATATAGTTAAGTACTGATGAAATCTCTCCCCCCCCCCTCCCCTTTTAAAGAAAACCCCGATAATAATAACAACACGAACAAGCAAAACAAAAGAAAACAAAAGCTAATAAACCAAACAAAACAATCCAACAACAACACCTCTTGGCACACGGAGACATTTTTTAAAATTCATATACAGGAATTAAATCAATCACAGGTCCCACAATCTCCCCATTCACAATACCCTGTACTGTTACACTCTTCTTCAGAGTTTATGGAGGAGCAATCACATTCTTTGAATCTATATACGTCACACAACTTGTCAAGGAATTCTAAAAAAGAACAACACAGATATGAAAAAATAATGGGAGAGATATACGGTAATGATAATAAGAATACTCTCTCTCTCTCTCTCTCTCTCATTTAATACTTGTAACCAAACCATGCAATAACAAGATGTGTTTGTGAAACACTGATGCCCCCGTATGGCAGCTTATGGCGAAGGTTAAAGTTAAAGTCAAAATCCAGGGCAAAAGATAAAAAAATGTTGATACCCAAAGAAAGGTCTTGTCTCGAGGAATACACCTGTGAAATTTGAAAGACCTAGATACAACTGTTCAAAAGTTATGGCGAAGGTTAAAGTTTTTTAAATAAAAGTCAAACGTCAAGGTCAAGGTCAAAGTGGTTGGTATCCAAAGGAAGATCTTGTCACAAGGATTACATATGTGAAGTATGAAAGCCCTAGCACCAACCATTCAAAAGTTATGGCCAAGGTTAAAGTTTTTCAAAAGTAGGTCAAACTCCTAGGTCAAGGTCAAAGGGTCAAAGTGGTTGGTATCCAAAGGAAGGTCTTGTCACAAGGATTACATATGTGAAGTATGAAAGCCCTAGCATCAACCATTCAAAAGTTATGGCCAAGGTTAAAGTTTTTCAAAAGTAGGTCAAACTCCTAGGTCAAGGTCAAAAGGTCAAAGTGGTGGTTGGTATCCAAAGGAAGGTCTCGTCGCAAGGATTACATATGTGAAGTATGAAAGCCCTAGCTCCAACCATTCAAAAGTTATGGCCAAGGTTAAAGTTTTTCAAAAGTAGGTCAAACTCCAAGGTCAAGGTCAAAAGATCAAAGTTGTTGGTATCCAAAGGAAGGCCTTGTCACAAAGAATACACATGTGAAGTTTGAAACCCTAAGCACCAACTGTTCAAAAGTTATGGCCAAGGTTAAAGTTTTTCAAAAGTAGGTCAAACTCCAAGGTCAAGGTCAAAAGATCAAAGTTGTTGGTATCCAAAGGAAGGCCTTGTCACAAAGAATACACATGTGAAGTTTGAAACCCCAAGCTCCAACTGTTCAGAAGTTATGGCCAAGGTTAAAGTCTCATAAAATTTTGTAAAAGTGGGTCAAACTCCAAGGTCAAGGTCAAAAGGTCAAATATGATGGTACCCAAAGAAAGGTCTTGTCACAAGGAATACACATGTGAAATATGAAAGTCATAGCTCCAACCAATCAAAAGTTATGGGCAAGGTTAAAGTTGACAACAGACAGACAGACAAACAGACAAAAGGACAAACGGACAAACAGACAAACAGATAAACAGACAAACAGACAGACAGGACAAAAACAATATACCCCCGGGATCTTTCGATCCGGGGGCATAAAAATACCTGTACTTATCTGGATGCTCCGTTCCCTGAAAATTGACTTACCATAAAAATTGTCATATCCACACTCGCATTTCTTTAGATCCGCCTCTGCTTCCTCCACTTCTGTCCTTTTTTGTGTCAATGCCTTTTCGCATACTTCGAATCCCAGATTTTCCTTTTCATGTTCACAATCCCTTATATCCGACCTCAATCTTTGTATACGGACTAAAAGAGCTGCAGATGGGACACTGGCTAGAAAAAAGGAAAACTTCTCATATAAAGGACACATTATGAATAAACTTAGGTTCAACATAAATGTCAATCCTTTTATATGAAACTAGTAAACATATATGTTGTAAAAACAATGCACTTTTACATGTGTACTTCCAAAAGGACCATCAACAATCAAATTAACATTTGCGAGTTGTTAAAAATCTGACAAATCCTCATCAAAAACTTGAAATAAGCCTTTCCAGCTTTTAGAACATCGAATTAAATTGATAAGAAAGGGATAATAATTTCAGGATGGTTTTTTTTAGTGTTTCAAGCAATCGTCATTCCAGAAAATGAAAATGTAGTTTATGTGTATCAAAATGAACCGGCGAATTTTGGTAACATTTCAAATTTTTCAAATTGATCACTTAAACTCAAATCCTTCACAGATCAAATATTTAGCATTTTAATATTGCTAATCATAACTCTGCTTTTCTTGAGAACATGATTTTAAAAGAGTTTTTTTCCTTATTTTTACTTCATGCGCGGATCCAGGAAATTTTTCCGGGGAGGGGAGGGGGGGGGGTTGAATCTGCACTATCTGAGCATGCTTATGTATTAACAGACTAATATCATATTCCTGCTGTTTTAGGGTAAAACCCTTTATTTTTTAATTTCGATATATTTTTAACATTTATCCTTTATTGTGTCCACGCATTCCCTCGGGGGACCATGATTTAAATAAAGGTCCTTTCACAATTGGCGCACGAGCACTTTACAACACTTTGCGATCGGAATTTTTTAGCATCGCACGAGCTCTCGCATATGTTGCACGATGTCTCGCATTCGTTGCATGCGTTTTAGTGGTCGCATCAAGTCTCTTCAAAATAGTGGACATGCACACTATTCAGACGCGACCAAATGGGATCCAAATTATCACAATGCAACGCACGAACATTAGTACGAACGCCTTACAACGTTTTGTGTACTCGTAAGAGTGATGTACGATTTTTAAAGGTCGTAAGATGAATCACAGCAGTGTTTTACGACCGTGAGACTGTTGATCAACGTGTCTCATGTAATCGTGCAACGTTTTACTATCATTGCACGATTTATCAGCTTCAATTTGCCATGCAAATATTACATATATACACCATATATATTATATTTATATACCAATACGATATCAAACCGCCGAAACACTTTGCTGTCATAATAATACAGTCAATAATTAATTACGCACATTCTAAACGATAACAATATTGGAAGAAATAAGAAAAATCATAGCACTGTGTCGGGTTCTCTAAATTTAGAATTGCGTGGCTGATGGGTGTTGCCTAAATGCATTCGAACGTGCATTCGTACCAATGGAACGCATGATTGCACGAGCTCCGCACGTCCAATCGCATTGGCGCTCATTCAATCGTCCGATCACCTGATCACTCGCGCGATCATATCGCATTATCTTACAACACTCGCTTTCGTTGTATATCAGTCGCATATAGACGCAAGATATATCGCAAGATTTAATGCGTTTGCATCGCACAAATGTCGCTTTAGATCTTGCGAATTTCGTACGAACACTTTTTCATATGCGATTATTTCGGCAACAGTTTACGATCCAAATCAAATTTTTTTGGTCGCACGAATATTTTGTCGCGTCTACTCGTGCGCCAATTGTGAAAGGGCCTTAAACCATAATGTTCAATACCTGAGAATGCTTGAATATTGATATAACTATAATCGTGGTTCTACAGGTTGTTCTTGAGAAGATCCTTCCGTCGAAATATGGCTGAAGTACTGCCGACTCGGTGTTAAGCAATAAACAATCAATCAATAAAAATTATTTAAATTTTGCATACATGTATTCCATTTTAAACTTTGAATCTCTATTGTGGCCCTGCTGTTGTTAAGATTTTTTCCCTATATATTCCCATGCAAATCGTTTGATCCCCTGTTGTAGCAATGTCTTAGCCTTGTGGTCACGATTTGAATAATTAAGCTTGAATTTAAACTATGTCAAGAAGCTTTCACACAAGTTTCTTTTTTACTGAAACAGTGATTCTTGAGAAGCAGATTTTTATATGACCCCACCGATTTTTCACTATTTTTAATTATCTCCTCAAGAAAAAACGCTAAAGGTCCTCTTTGAATCCCCTTCCATCAAGGAAGCTATTTGGTTGAAATTGGCCCAGCAGTTCTGTAGAAGAGGATATTGTGAAAAGATAACAGACGACACACACCTTTCGATCACAAAAGTTCACTTAGGCCTTTGGCTCAAGGAGCTAAAATGTCTATAAATTAATTTTTCGAAAGCTTTTAGGATATTTATGGATCAAAGCCCTGGTAGTTCGCATGCTCAGAGAAGCCGTTGATGCATTATCATATGCACCCTCTCTCTCTCTCTCTTAACCTATATAGCCAAAAACTCCAGAAGTGTTCTTAGATTTACATTAATTTGAAAATATTAAAAACGGAAAAATTCACGCAGGCCAATATTGTCTCAAAACATTGAAATATACCTTTGACGTCACGCTTCATGTAGCACGGGAAATTCAAACCGTGATCAGTAAATGTAAAATACACATTTGTTTTATGGTATTATTCATTATTCAAATACATATTCATTTTTTCTTTTACCCTTCTACCCAAAGTAAATCTATTCATAACAGCTACAAGACAATATAAACACTTACCGAAAATCCCTAAAAGTCCGAGAAATGGGAGTTCGCAGTTCAATTGTTCTGGAGTATGTGAACAAATGTTTCTAACAGAGAGTAGAAGAAAGACGATAGAAAGCAAACATTTTACCATGCTGAGTAATAAGTATATTTCCTTATAATATTCATTAATATTAATAACACTTTTACATGGACAGAGCGGTTTATCACTTGTTTTATAAGGTAGATATATGTACAAGGCAAATGGTTTCTTCCTGAAGGGATTAACATGATGCGAAATCTACATTGGTGTCTATTAATATATGCGACATGTTATATAACGCCGTCTGAAAAAAATCGAGTTATAAACATGTACGTAAAAAATACACCCAAACATAAAGGTGAATGGATTATGTAACAACACTCATGAATGAAAAAAGTGATCAATATCGTGTATCATTTATAAAACAATACACATTGTTTTATAGACCACAGGGCACGGACCCCTGGAAACTCCAACGCTTGGATCAGGTGCCCAGGAGGAGCAAGCATCCCCCATTGACTATGATCCCTCTATTGATCGGGTAAACAAATTAATCCGTAGCCAATCAATGGCCTAACATGTTAGTCAAAAATACGACCCAACAATTCGATATACGATATGTTGTTTCTTCAAACGAGGTCATTATAAAGATGAAGCGAAAGCAAATGGAAAACTCCATCAAATATTCTGAGTTTGTTATAAACTTCTGTTATAAAACACGTGCTCCAATTGATTACTTCATATAGGCATGAGTTATGTATTTAGATGAAAAAAACAAGACAGAAGAGCATATGAAATGACAACATGAAAATCGCATAATCACCAATAAATGGAGATTGGGAAACCTTAGCAAATAACACAATTCACGGCCACGGTAGCTCAGTCGGTTGAGCGCTCAATTACCAAATACTTGACATTTCGTCATTATATTCTTCGTAATGTTTTAAAAATTAAGTAAACTTGACAATAATGGTACAAACTTCGTCCTGTTACTTGATATTCAGCATTGCACATGCTCAGGATGAAAATTAGCAGAAAAGATTGAACCATAATCTAGGATATAATAGCTTAAATTCCACATACAGTAAGTTGCGATTTTAGATTGTATATTAATCTTTGCATAATAAAACCCCTTTAGGACCGAATGTTGCGTAAAATCGCAAAAAAAAAAAAAAAAAAAAAAAAAAAAATCTTTAATTGAATCACCTGCCAACTTAAAATGTTATCTCTTAATTAGAGGTAAAAAAGGGAATATTAATTTGATATATAGTCCTCTCTTCGATGTGTGTGTGTGTTTAAATAAATAAATGTAAACGTTTTACTGTGGAAAGATTTTCTGTATAAGAACAGCTCACTAAAGGTGAACCATTCTTCCAGAAGAAGAATCATCAATCAATCAATCGATCAATCAGTCAATGTATTTATTGTTATAAACTAAAATAAAATTCAGGGAGTGTAGAGACAAATTACAAAATAAATCTTGTTACTAATATCTACATTCGTACTAAAATATTCAATACACTTAACTACTATCTATATAGGTGGACAAACTGTACAAAAAATCCACGGTGACCAAAGGGGCCGTCACTTTACACGAACATGTATAAGGCTTCACTGAAAACTCGCTGACATTTTATGTATGTAATATGAACAGGAATCCAACAACAGATTGCAAGCTCTGTAATAACTTCCAAGATACATTGGAAATGTACATAGAACACCAGTTGAACAGTACTACTTAAAATGAGAATAGGATTGATCTCATTCTTCGCAAAACTTTTTGAACTCCAAAATGTTATTTTCAGTTTCTGACAATATAAGTCGATAGCAGTCATTATCACGTTGCTGAAGTAATCATAAGACAGGGACGGTATTCTCATGAGATCATCTTGGATGCATGTGAGATAACGTCTGTTTTTGAAGTTGACTAGATGAATTGGTAAACCCAGCCATTCTTACTTTTAAGAAGATGGGCCACAACGCTCACATTAGTAAACTTGGCTCTGCTGTTTTTCATCAGAACTTTTTTCTCTCTTAATTCACATGAATTTTTTTTTACCACATATTGTGGACCCACCCTAGTCCCAAGGGGTCATAACATTTGAATCCACACAACATTGGGATGCTTCGATATTAATATGGTTAACCTAGCCCATGTTCAGAAGTTTCTTTGAAAGATTAGTAAACTGTATACTACTAAATGTATTACATAAAATTTGATCCTGGATTTCAGTCCCACCTTTGCCCCAGGGTCAACAATTTGATGTTCTACACAGCCATTTGTAGAAGACTTCGCAATGTTACTTAAAATCTTGAATCCACACAACTTGGGAATGTTTGCATTTTAGCATGATATAGTACGGAAGCATATTAGTGCCAAGTAATATTTTTTAAGTGAGTAATTCCAACTTTAAAGTTGGCTTTTCCAACTTTAAAGTTCTAATATATGTTCTAATAAAATTTTAATATGTGATTAAATAATAAAAAAATCTGTTCTGCAAAATTCAATAACATGCATTTGAGTATATACCAGGTATATAAACTGTAACTTCAAAAATCGTAGATTGGGAGGTCCGCGTTTGATTCTCGTTTTCAAACCTAAGTGAAACCTAAGACGAACAACATTATTCCTTCTCCAAGAATTCACGGATATGACCTTAAAAACGCAGGTCCCGTGGTATGGTAGGCGTTGGCACGATAAAGAACTCTCATTGCTCAATGGCCGTATGCGTTATCTGGTACGAAAAGAAATTAATGAATATTTGTTCGTTGCCTTACTGGTAGTTAAATCCAGGTAAGTCCATATGAGTAGAAAAAAAATCCAGTTCAATTCTAATACAGTATTACATGTTATTGAATTCACCTGTACACCAGTGACCATTTAAAGCAATGTTCTTGTCTGTATATTTTAAGAATTTTATTTTGCTGTAAAAATTATGATATTTATGATATTATTATGATACTTATACCTTTATGATAAGTCAGACTAAAACGAAGCGCTAGATTTATTTACCATGGAATGTATATATATATATATATATATATATATATATATATATATATATATATATATATATATATATATATATATATATATATATATAAACACAAATATGAAGATAATAAATTTATGAACTTTCATATTTTTTATCATGAAATGATATGATATATAAAAAATTGTAAATTACAATGTCAGAACAACACTTTAATTTAAGCTCCTACTGTTTTAAATACTTGAAATATGAATTCATTCTTAGTCGACCACTTCTTATAAAAATAGTGACTGAAATACTTATGGTCAGTGTTTCATACTAAGTTAATATTTCGCTCAACAACCCTTGTAAAAATAGTGACAAGGGCAAGGTCAGGTTCTTAAGTTTTGATAAATTTCGCTCAGTTTCTGAGTAATCGATGTTTGGAATCAGATTGACCTACTAGGTCGAAATTACGTATCGTCTAAAGTCAATATTGAAGGTTAAATTTAGACTTTTATCTTGCATGGACACTGACCATCAAATACACAATATTTGACCTAAATACATAAACTGATTTTATTACTTCCATGCATTCTAAAGTGTACATATGCATAAAAATGAATGTTTTATACCCAACATATTACTAACAATGGAAATTTCTTATGCACCCTTGACGAGTTACATAAAATTTCATGATCAACTTGACAGAGTATTATTGTGTGTGTGGGGAGGGGGGGGGTAATATACTTTCGGGAATTGCTTGAAATTTAATTTTAACAATAAACAATTGCGAAATTAAAAACATTCAACATGCAGAAGAATTAACCCTTAAAAAACTAAATATTAATGAAACGAACTCTGGATATATTACAAGAATTTTGCGAACATGCGGGATCAAAAATAAACAAACATAAAACAGTGTGCATTCTGCTAGGGCAGTTAAAATATGTATAATGAACTAAACGGTATATAAAAACCACGAATACAGCAGTGATTTTCAATGGCCATGATAAGGAGAATGCTACACTAAAAACATGCTATTGCGAAACTTTTTTGAATCCTGGAAAAGAAGTATACGTTATTTGGCAAATCATGTATAGTAAAACACTTGCCATATCTAAACTTACATTTGTTGCTTCAATACCTAGTCTTCTGGACAATGCTTATAATAAAAAAATAAAGCGTCTAATTTATAACCTTATTTGGGATAAAAATAAAAGAATTAAACGTAACAGAATAAGTAGAATTTCAAAAGTTGATCTCTCAATTGTTGATATTGAATGTAAATTAAAAGCACTAAAAATGGCTTGGGTACCTATTTTGTACATTTTTGATGGTTTTTATAAAAAAGTTAAACAGGTGCTCTCTATGTGTTACGTTAAAGTAAAAACTATGCAGAAAATAAAGAAAATACCCATTTTTATTTGATTTATCGACAAATGTTAAGCTCCTTTAATGAATGTAAGCTTTGTTCTTTGGACAAAATGTTGGGGTTCTACATGTTAAAGATTTATTCGACGATGATGGCAATTTCAAATCTCTGTCAGATTAAGTTCGTGAACATACACTGTACGCTAAGAAATTATTTTCTCTTCTAAACAGGACATGTGAATAGTGCAGCTTTTTCTATATGAAAATTTTGTAAACAAAATTTTTGTAAACCGTATTATGAAACAGTTTTAAACAAGGAGTTCAACGTTGAACCTAAAGAGTGGAAAAATATATATATTAATGCAAATTATATGACATGCCCGATAGACATTTTACAGAATGAATTATAAACTTTTAAACAATATTCATAGTAAGTGGAGAAAAGAAACACGTAGTTATCGCGTTATGCCATAATAACGAAACTTCAAATTTTTAATGATCTCATTTTTGAATCTGAAAATGTTATTCATGATCAAATATGGAATATGTTTTTAAACATAGTTATTAGCTGGAAACATGTAATGATCGATTTCAAACTCTGTCCCAGAAAAATCTTATCCTTCAATACACTTATCTCTTATGCTGCATATAGAATTAAAAAAAAAGTATTAGATGTATTGTCGACTATGTCCTTGGATGAAACCATGCAGCTACAATATATTCTTAATCATGTTAAATATTCAATTATTTTCTATACTTCAATTCTGAAAAATGTTAATTTTCTTGTGGCTTATAACCTTTTTTTGTTTTAAAAAAATTGAATTTATTCAAAATATAGCTTATAGATGTTTGTAAATTACAATATACGATGCCTTCAGTTACACAAAATCAGTTGTGGTCTTTATGAGTTAGGTAGTATGAACTTTAGTGAAGTGCGAAATAGTGACCCACCATATTGCATAACGTAAACGTTTTGAATTCTTATATAAATTATATCAAATCAATATTATCACGTTATCTACTGTATTTGATATGACTTGTTCAAATATGTTATGTGTATCAATGTTTGGAAAAAAGAAATTTACATTTCCATTTACAAATAAGAGCCCCCCCCCCCCCTAAAAAAATTAAAAGCTGCAAGTTTTAAACTTGCTTTCATTTCCTGAAATAAACTGTATAACATTGTATAATTCATGAATATCCTATATACATATTCTTAAACCAGAAATAAACCCTTAATCATCATTATAATTTGTTTATATCCAATTAATGGGAAAAAAAATCTTGTTGATTAGAGTTAAACATTAAAATGCTAATGTCAGCTAGGGAGACCGTTTGCAGTGTGAATTGAAAATCCTGAATCCGCTCCTTTGAGGTAAAGCTTATCAAGAGGGTCAGAGTACTGGAATAGGCGAACATCAAATCTCCGCATTTTTATGAAAGTACGTTTGGTACATTTGATGTGAACTACAACAAGAGCACATTGAGGAGCATTTACCGTGCAACATTTGTGCAGTTAATCACTCTTTACAGCGTTTTGTTTACCTGGTGAGTTTTGTTTATTCTCAATATTGAATATACATATATGTACTATTGAATGTTTTTGTATGGCAGCTCAACTGGGTCAGGGTTAATCCTATAAAGTATTTCATTATACAGTGTTTAAAGGGGCCTTGACACAGTTGCTTTATTTACAATTTTAAAAGTCTATTTTTATTCAAAAATTACTTCAGTTTAATGATTTGGACTGACATGAATATTCCAAGTTTTCAATGACAACGACATTCTTCATTACATCACGTCAAACACCTGTGTTTGTAAAAAATGGGCACGAGCTCTAGCTGTTATTGTTACTGTTTACGTTTTACTGGGTGTGGTTTTTTTGTTTAGTCAGAACACGTGTATCTTAATCATGTGAAAAATTAATGATAGATCCACCAAAATATTATTTTATGACTCTTAACTGCTTAAGTATTTATTTTGTAATTCACAAGTTTTAAGAAATTTCATTCTTCAGACTGATCATTGCAAATATACATGTATATAGATGAAAGTGTTATTATATTACTTACCAGAGTTTCCTCTGTCCTTTAATGAACACTGTACATATCATTTACCTTTTGTAATCAAAATTATTTTTTAAAAAAAAGGTTTCATGCTTAAAACTTGTTATTTATAACTGGTACTTTTATTTTCAGTTTCTAGAAGCTAATATTTGTTTATTTATAAGTACGAATGTGTTGGGGGGGGGGGGGTTCACAGTATGCATATATATATATAAAATTGTGATTTTTTTTTCATGACCCTCCCCCCCCCCCCGGGCAAGGGGCCTGAGGGGTGGGACTCAAACCACCAAAATGAATGCAATCCTTACAAATCTTCTTTACTTCTGGATGTCAAACAATCAAACTGTTGTCATGATTGTAATAAGCATTGATTCCTCCACCAGAATTGTAAAATTCATGGTGAGGGGTTCTGGTGTTAGGACGGGACTTTAATGATAATATAATAAAAATGCATTAATTGTTTGAAAATCTTCTCTGCTCTTGGGTATAATTTAAGCAAACCAAGACCTAGTGTCTGGTTATGATAAACAAGGGTGTCTCTATCAAAATTGTGAAATTCATGGCCCAACGGTTGTGGTGAAAGGGGGTGGGGTGGTTCTATTGATTATATAGTGATAAAGCAGAATTTCTCTGAAAATATTTTTTCTGCTTCTGATTATAAAGGGAAAAAATCTAAGTGTATAGTTATGATGAGCAAGGGTGCCTTTTCCAGAATTGTGAGTTTCATGGCCCCTTGGTCAGATGTTCTGGTGTAAAGGTGTGACTCTATTGATAATATAGTGAAAATGCATTAATTTTATTAAATGATCCTGTCTTCTCCTTAGTATTGAGCAAGTACTGTAAATTCCTTATTTTTCGCGAGTACTTATTATCGCGAAATGTCTCTTTTACGTCAAATTGCGAGAACAATAATTCGCGAGTGGACGGTTGATCAAGGGATTTTACATTGATTTGAGCACCATAAAAATAAAAACGAGAAATTTTATTTCGCGAGTGGTGCTTCTCGCGTAATTACGCGATAATTAATTCCTCGCGTATATTTAGGAATCTACAGTAAACAAATTGCTTAGTTATGATGAGCAAGGGTGCTTCTTACAAAATTTTTAAAACAAGGTCTCAGGTCAGGGGTTCTGATGTTTTTCGGGGTGTGGTTTATTGGTAATATGGTGAAAATGCATTAATTTTTTGAAAATCTTTAACTAAGTGCATAATTATGATGATGAAGGTACCTCTTGCAAAATTTTGAAATTCATGACCCTGGGTCATGGGTTCGGGTACTAGGGTTGGACCGTGTTGAATCCGTATTGGAGGCAAACAGAGTAAAAGTTTTAACAAGCAAGTGTATTTTTACCAGATTTTCAAACATCTGGACCATTTGGTCAAGTGTTCTGGTCCTGGCCATTAATTTGTATTCTACTGAGAGAAGTTATCCCCCTTTGCCATTCACTTTGAAAATTAATCTCTCTAAATGACCTATTTGAAAGGTTAATAGTATAAGAGAATTATGCAAAAATTTTATTGTATAATACACAAAGTACTTTCTTAGTTTTAATGGTCAGGTATACTTGCAAATAATAGATAAATAAAAATGAGACAAAATAACTAAACTTATTAAATGTTCTTCAAAGGTCTAAAGATGCCATTGTGAGAGGTTATAATATGGGATTAAAATTTTGTTAAAAAGCATTAATATTTTGTTAATAGTCTGCATGGTAATAGTGATAAATGGGGGACAGATTAGAACTTGAGTTGTTACTGAATACTTATTATTCCGGTGATCCTGTTCATCCTATATCTCTTGCTTTTGGACAACAAAGCTTCATCTATCAATTTATTTTATAATCTATGGATCCTCTAAATTGTTGTGTTATAATCAGGTGATCGTTAAGACCCTTGGGCTCTGGTCATTTTATTAATACATGTTTCCAAGAATCCTCCAAAATAGATTTCAGTCTGTCTTTACTGCATTTGTCAGTTTACACGACCATTGTGGGATACAGATCCGTATGTTTTTTTCATAGTATTTAATAGAAAAATAGTATTTACAGAAGTTTGTGTGGTATCTGCACATCATATAGTTTCAAAGTACAGTAATATGAGCTCATAAACATGTATAATTGCTAATAATCAAAACCATGCATCTCAAAAGTCAAAAGTCATAAGTTAAATGTAACCGTCCGGAGTATTTTTTGCAAAGTTGGTCAAAGGTCAAGGTTAATTAGAATGTTACGCTGGTATTTTTCATAATGTTAAATCAGTGCACATGCTTAATAGCATAGACTTATCTCTTAACTGTCAAAAATATGCTGTATATTGGCACCGTGAGCTATTTTGAAAAGTAGGTCAAAGGTCAAGTTCATTGGTCACGAGGTCGAGTAACCATGGTATTTTACAAAAGTCATGGTGCCAAGCATAAATATCAAATCAATGTCTCTTACAATATAAGGTGTGACAGACGGACGAACAGACAGACGCCGGGTAAAGTGATCCCTGGGAGTCTCACTGCTATGCAGAAATTCCCTCAAGGGATTAAATATTGCCGGACGCGGAGCAGAGGGCAATATTTTCGTCCTGAGGGGCTAACATAATCAATGTTGCCTGAAAATACAGACAATAATTATTTTGTTATATGAAAAAACAAAACAAATCAATAAATTAGTATTTTGATTTCATTCATTAACATTCAACAACTCATTTGTACCCCATGCATTATCTGCACGCTGACTTTTATAGTGTTAGCGAATTTTCAAGTCGCCTTGATTTTGTTACTTGTTTTTATATCCACAAATTTTGCTATGTACAACTCAAATCAAAAACTGGCAACTCGCAGCTCGTTTTTTGCTAAATTGCATATATTATAAAAATAAGAGAAAGTTTTTTCTTTCCTTTTTTTATTGGTACGTTATGTTTTTGGAAGTCGCGACGGTATCCGCAATAAATCAATCTTCTAATCAGAATCATTAAAATATTGTGGGAAAACTCTTTGCCGATCTATAGTAGAAATAAAATGATCGTCAATATTTTCCGGAGGAGCTTAATATCAATTATGTTGACTGTTTCTCTGTATAGAAAATTAGAGACTGTTCTATACTGAATGTAGCAAATCATTTTTATGATACAGAGTAGAAAAAAAGGAATGTAATGATCAAATGGTTTAAAAATTAATGAAAAGAGGGCTTTTCTATATACATTGCAAATTAATTAAAATTTTGTTTAAATTGTCAGTTTATGAGCTTAATCATAATTTGCATCGTATTATATATAATTTATTGATATTTTGCATGAAACGCAGAATTGCGAGCCTATAAGTTACCGAAAAAACCCAAATTAAATTATTCCCGTAGACATTACATATTCATATACTATGTCTCAGTAGAATAGCTTCGTACCTTTTTTAGCACATATCTGTACATATCATACTGGTCAATATATTGGAATTCCATAGATCTCAACCTATCCTTCTATGACATATTCCAAGTTTATCGATTTATTAATAATGCACAAATTAACCTTTAGGTATTTGTTTCGAATTTTCGCCCCTACACTGTTACAGGAATCTACATGTCAGTAAAGCTAATCATTTTTACGCTGACCGATTAATATTTGGTGGAATATGGTGTCTTATATTATTATTTGCATTGGTCACTGGTCCTTACTGACTTGAGTTTTCCAGAAATAGCATACCCCACTATGATAATGTTTAGCATTGTTTAAAGAAGATTTATGAGCAACTTTACATTTATATATAATTAGGTCTTCACCGCTAGATCCTTCATAAAATTAAGCGGATTGTAGCCTTCGAGCAGATACAGCGGGCTATTTTTAGTCAGTAAACATAATACATGTATTTTGATATGCTATGTTTAGAAAATCATCACGCCGATAGGGGTCGTCAATTGAATGGCTTCCTGTATATGAAGACTCCTTAATAAGCGCTTATGCATGCGCTTAGTGCTTGATTAAATGTCTTATATTTTTCTATCTACATACATGAAGTTATGCACTTCAGGGTAACATTCCTTCAGTTGGACGCTTGCATTTCATAATTCAGCTCTAAGGCCCCCATTTTTATAGAAATTAGATTGTGAAGATAACGAACAATAATCATTCTCAAAAGACCACAGAGCCAACAAGGACCTCTGAAAACAGGGGTGGGATCAATTGCCATGAAGGAATAAGCATCTCCTGCCAACCTGTCACACCCGCCGTGTGCTCCTTGTCATGATCATGTAAACGGAAATATCCGTCGTCAATTCACTGTGAAAATAATGACCTATAAATTTAATGAAAGATGTCAGTCAGCAAATAACCAAAATAAGGTCTTTGTATCGACCATAGAATTTGAGAAATGATGACTTTAAAAGAGATTGTTATTATCCTTATATCATCAACTTGACCGTTCACGGTAGCTCAGTCGGTAGAGCGCTCGCTCCGTGATCGGGAGGTCGTGAGTTCGAATCTCGGCCGCGACAGACCTAAGTCGATAAAAAATAGGTAGCAACTGTTCCTTCGCCATGCGCTCGGCACTTTGGAGTGAAAGTTGCGGGTCTTTCGGATGAGACCTTAAAAACCGAAGCTCCGTGTCACGGCAGGCGTTGGTACGATAAAGATCCCTCACTGCTCAATGGCCCTGAGTGCCGAGTAAAGGTCAAAATTTGAAGCCCTTCACCGGTATATGGTGACGTCTCTATATGAGTGAAAAATTCTCGAATGGGACGTAAAACAATATACAATCAATCAATCAATATATCATCAACTTATTTGTCAGTAGCCTTCCTCTTTTTAGAAATTATTCGTAGCAGAACACGCTCTTGCGTATCAAATCAACTGGGATGCAAAAACTCGATTTGCAGGTGATAAATATTATATTGCTACTTAAATAAGGGAATTTGACAATAGAAAAGTTGAAGTCGTCACTTTTATCATAAAGTCTAGTTGTCAATTTGCCATCAGTGTCTTTCTCTCTCCAGTAAAACATATAAATATGTTTGTTTATTGTTTAACGTCCCTTTCGAGAATTTTTCACTCATATGGAGACGCCACCACTTGCCGGTGGAGAGCTGCATATAAATATGAAACAGATGTGTAAGACTCTAGGGTGTCTTTTATTTCGAGTTCATTGGGATGCACAAAAGAAGGAATGAGAGAAAATGGGAAGGGAAGGGTTGAGAAGCCAGACTGGGAGGAGGGAACCAATGGATGTGGAAGAAAAAGAAGAATGCCCCCCTCCCCCCCCCCCCCAAAAAAAATGAGAGCTGGAGGCCTGCATCTTTTTGATTAAAATTAAATTAAATCCTGTATACTACATTAGAAAAATAACGCAAAAACATCAAATTAACCTATATATATATATATATATATATATATATATATATATATATATATATATATATATATATATATATATATATATATATATATATATATATATATATATTGACTTTCAAAATGTAGAAAAGGCATTTTGGGTTTAATTGATTCTCAAAAATTTCCTTCAGAGAGGAAAAGAGAAGAGAAACATCGTTTCAACATCATGGCTATTTTATCTCTAAATGTACAAACCATTTTGGCGGGACTTACCATTGGTCTTCTGGTGTATAAAGCTATCAAACGAATGCGATATCGCCTGCCACCAGGTCCCTGGTGCATACCCCTTATTGGGCATTATAAAGGTAACACTTTGATTTAAAAAATCTCCAAATTAAATTATTAAAATTCAAAGTTCAAAATAGTTTTTGTGCTGTGTTTATTTGAAATCAATTTTATAACTTGCTAAAAAATGTTCAGTTAAATTAGAACTGCGTTAGGAGAAAAAGAACAGGATGTTTATTTCTACAATAGATTTGACATTCAATTTGATGTATTAATATCAATAAAACATATATTTTTGGTTTTTTGAAAGATTTCTCTAAACATGTCAATAATGATTATTATTTAGCATTCATTGATTATGCCTAAAGAGTAAAAAGGATATTAAAAGCCATTTGTAAATTTTTAATTTTTTTCTTTTTCAGTCTACGGCTCAGTAGAGATTCACAAGAAGATCGCAGAACTTTCAAAGAAATATGGTCCAGTTGTACGCATCTCATTCGGTTAGTGTCATTTTGCTATGGTCATACATAGACAAAACTGACTGACAGTAATATAATGCCGAGGTAAAAAAAAAAAAAAGTATTCATAATGCAACTGTGCATTAGTAATTGAAAATGATGTTTAAATTTGAATTTCTGAGCAACAGTTAAGTGTCATATACTGCCTTATCTGTGATTTCTCTTGCTTATATTCTATTGACATTACTGTCGATTTTTATCTAAATCATGGAATCAAAGTCAAAAATTCCTTTAATACGAAATCAAATATGTTAGGAAATTACAGAAAAAAGGCAAATTCATTCGTCTTCTTCCTAATGAAACCTTTTTTGCAGTATTTCTTCAAGTTTGAATTTTAAGTTTTACCTAATGATATTTGGAATCCCTGGTGAATATAGCTAAAAACTGTTTATATTCAGAATGATAATACAGATTTTTATTTTTTCTTTTATTTTTTGCGAATCCAAAAAGGACCCCAGATGTGGATTGTACTGAATAATATTGACGTTACACTGGAGGCAATGGTGAAAAAGAAAGCAGATTTTGCTGGGAGACCAAAATTTAATTCAGGTTCAAGAAAACATGAGTTTTTTTTATAATAACTGTTGTCAAAAATTAATACAATCAGCATGTATGAATATATTTTGGCTAATACATTTTATTTGGGAAATGTAGGTGAGGTATTTACCGAAGGTGGAAAAGACATTGCGTTTACAAGTTATTCGCCTACGTGGAAATTTCACAGGAAAATAGCGGGCAAAGCTTTGAGGTAATTTTGAGAAAACTGCTGAAAAATCAAATCATAAGAGATGGATATCATCTTTGCAAGTCAAGGGGTTTTAAGCCGCTACCAACATATGCGGGCCAAAACTCCCATAGCCTTTCATTGGTTAAGATGATCCTCCAAATCCTCCTGCAAATTAAAAAAATCTTTTTAATATAATTTTTTTGGATAAATTATATATCTCTATTTTAATTGAAAACCATTTATTTTGAAAACGGGAGCCTTAAGGTCCAAATTAATATGATGTTTTGAAGTTTGTTCATTTTGCATAAGTCTTTTTATTGATATTAATAAATAGAATACCATGGAGTTTTACATTAAAATATAGAAACTGCTTTCAATTAATTTCATTTATGATATCTAATGGAAAAATTTTAGTTGTGGTAGTATTTTTAGGTAAATGGCTGTAAGCTCTCTCTCTATATATATACAGGCATTATTTGCAAGGGGATCTGCTTGAAAATATGGTACAAGACAACGCAGAAAAATTTCTTAATAAAATGGCAAAGGAGAAAGAACCATTCTTTTTCAAAGACTATGTTGATCTGATGATCTTCCATCAACTCTACACTCTCTGTTTTGGGGAAAAGTAAGTAAACTGGAAGCTACTTTCTCACTAAACAATATAAGCAGAAGTAATGGCTATAATATGACATCCTCATTAATAAGGAACACTTAACAAACATTTCTAAACTCAACATAGTTTTAGATACAGGCTTACATATTTATTGCTGATTTAGATCGTAGATTACTTGTATTTGACACAATCATGAATTTACTGAATTGTTTGGTCCAGAAAATGGGGATTTGTGCTGTTTTGTTAGAGACTTCTGTAGATATCATTTCTCAGCAGCTGTGTTTTAAAACAAAGTTTTTGACCTAAGTATGTGAGACACTTAATATCTTATGTTGATCAATTACTGTTTCGATGAAGGTATTTGTAAGTTACCATACATAGCTATCATCAGCATTGTAGAACTTCACATTTCTTTTTCTGATAAACTTTGTAATGTTGTATTGAAACAGACGACCTGTCGATGACCCGGAAGTGAAAGCTCTTCTAAAATTGGATAACGATCTCTTCGACCTTTTCGGCACTGGTCTCCTAGAGGATATAGTCCCATATCTAAAAGACATCTACCCCACAGCTAAATGGAAGAAATTCAATAAAATGATGGGGGAAATTCTTCATTTGCTGCACACTAAATTTAAACAACACGTGGATACCTTCTCCCCAGGTTGTTATCCATTTTTTATAATTTTTATAATTATTATTTTATTTTATAATTTTTATTTTTGAAATAATCTATTAAAAGGTGATTGAATATAGCAGCATATTTCCAAAGAGATACATGTGCACACTTGTATTTTTGCAATTAATTTAGGTAGACACTAATTAAATATTCTAGTAATTCATTGTTTAGAAATATTTGTACATCTGCATTCTTTTTCTAGATAAAAACAGGGACTTTATCGACAGTTTACTGATGGCCAGACAGGAAGCTGAGAACGAGGGAGATGAAGCAGCACTGGAGAAGTTAGAAGATACATACCTTGTTCAGACCATAGGAGATATATTTTTTGGTAGGTGATATTCAATCTATTATTCAAGGTCTTTTGAACATTTTTTGATAAAAAGGTAAATCCTGACCTTGACCCAGGTTAAAACAAGGTCATGTTCACATGTTCCAGACATGCCAAATTCTTGCTTTTAATTTTAAGGGAGAGAGGCAAGGGAGTTCAAATTTGTAATGAGCATGGGTGTTTTCAAGTGATTGTGATATTCTGGAAATTCTATACCACAGGTCATGGTCCAAGTGTTCTGGCATTAGGCAGGGCTCTCTTGATAGTGAAATTTGTGCTCTACAGAGAAAAGTTATTTCCCTTTGCTATTTACTAATGTTAATTAATCACTGCACTGAAATTGATAGCTCAGTTGGTAGAGCACCTGACTGGAGATTCAGGGGGCCCGGGTTCGAATCCCGGTCTGGTCCACTGCATTTTTCTCCTCTCCCGTTACATTTGGCGCCCAACAATAAAACCCACGGGTGGTTTGAAAGAGTCTCGGTGAGGTTTTCAGGATTGAAAACCTTAAGAAAAAGGGGGGAAGAGTGTAACGGGAACTGGGTACGTCTGCCCGGTAGCTCAGTGGTTAGAGCACCCGCACGGTTAGCGGGAGGTCCCGGGTTCGAGTCCCAGTCTGGCCGACATTTTTCCCAGCCTGTTACACCTTTTATATTCTTCAAAGACGAAGAGAGTCCAGTTTAGTGTTTACCTCAAGCAATAATTTGCCTAATAATAGTGATAATAGTGGAATGAATTAGTACTGGCAAGTAAATAGATTGCTTATGATTTATTACCTAGTACTAGACTATCTATTTTGTTTATCTCTGATTATCCAATTTCTCTTGCTTTGAGACAACGTATCTTCACTTCTCAGTTCCAAACATCGTTTGATCCTTTACAGTAAGTGACCGAAAAGGCCTTTGGGCTCTTGTACGAATACGAATTGAAAATTAAGAAACCTTGTGTATTTAAAAAAAAACCCCATTAATTTTGATTCCAGTAAGACCCTGTTCAGTTTTAATGATGAGTTTGACAATTCTACTTTGATTTGTTTACAGCTGGCGTTGATACCACTAGATTCGCAATGGACTGGTTTGTATATTTCATGACCAGATTTCCGGAAATTCAAACCAAATGCCAGGAGGAAATTGACAGGGTTGTTGGTAAGACTGAAGTGACTTGCTGTCATTTTCTTGTCAAGCACTAGAAAGTGAATTGAAATTTTAAAAAGTTTAACATTGTTGTCGTGTAAATTATCTTTCACAGGTTCCGGACATCCATCAATGAAGGACCGTAGCAACTTGGACTACACAGAGGCTTGTTTGTTTGAAACTTTGAGGCTCGCGAACGTTGCAGGACTTGGTATCCCACATAAGACTATTTGTGATACACAAGTTGGTAAGTGATTATTACTTTCATCTAATCTGTAATCTGGAAAACCAGTCATTGAATTTACAGCATCCATCTTTCTTTGGGTGTGAGTTACATTGATATTTATGTACTTAAAAGAACAAAAATCAAACAGAGATTATTGAAATGCTCTAAATGTAGACCTTGCTTGTTAAAGAAATAGCTTAATATAAATGAAATGTCTAATTTTTTTAAATGAGTACAAAACATCTGTAGTTTATGACCTACAAAGTATTATTACATATACTACCATTTTCAAATGTAGGCTATTTGCAGACATAATTCCATATGTCGATTGCATCATGACCTTTTTATTTAACAGGGGGTTACGACATTCCCAAAGGTACCACAGTTGTTATTAACTTTTGGGCTCTTCATCAAGATCCGAAACACTGGAAAGACCCAGAGCAATTCGATCCTTCTCGCTATCTTGATGAAGAAGGTAAAATGAAGCCAATAAGACCAGATAGTTGGCTTCCTTTCTCGGCTGGCCGGCGTGTTTGTCTTGGGGAAACAGTCGCTAAACCGGAACTCCTGCTGTTGTGTGCAAACCTCCTGCAGCGATTTGATATTCGCCTCCCAGATGGTGTGAAAGCCAATCCAGAGCATAATATGAAAGGATTTGGTATAGAACTTCCATCAGATTATAAAATCGTCGTGAAGGAAAGAATTGAGAATTGAAATTTGGACACCATGGTATATATAAATTGAACATATCTGTAGATATCTGAACAAACAAAGAGGCATAAATATTCCATATCATTAATTTTTATCTTGTATTGATAGGAAATATTTATCTTTCCTCCATTCGCACAATTATTATAACCATTTTCAGTGTTTTCAAAAATATAGTTCTGTTTGTATCTTTGTAAATATGATTCACGAGAATAAAAGAATAAGGTAATGACGTTATATGAGGTCGTTATGACGTTATATGTGGAACAAGCAAATGCTGTTCGATTGTGATTTAATAGATTATAGTAGTTAACTGATCACCTACAAATTAATGTTTGAAAATTTCAATCATTTAGTGTATAAAAACTCCTTTTATTATGTCTGCTACAAATAATCACACAATCAAAAAATCTTTATTTTGTTATGTACGAGTATGCTTCGTAACGATTATAATTTTAAATATTGTTCAAAATTATGGTTAAAGTATATACATGTATTTAAAAATAAAAGAAAATTACATTCTTTAAAGAGTTTTATTCTTATTGACACTTTGTTCGATATATCAAGCTTTAGAACACCATGTTTGTAAACACAGATTTTCAGGAACATTTATTATTGAAATGTTGAATGACGAATTGAAAAAAATCACATTGACTTGAAGGAAACCCATACCCGGAGGAAGGTGCATAATTAAATATATAAAGATTATTAAGGGCACATACTATATATACATGTTCTTTTTTTTTATTATTATTATTATGAATGCGATTTCCTCATATAAACAACTAGAGTTTTCTAAGAACGCATGTGTCGCCTTCTATACCATCATTAAAGATGTAAATAAATCAATTTATTTGCATACTAGTATTATAGTTTGTATTTGCCTCCAGAGAAAAAGAGTATTCACGAATATTAAGACTGCGATACAATTAATCAGAATATTATTTATCATTAAGTGTGACAATCGAATAGAAATATAATTCCTTTAAGGACATTGGCAAGTCAAGGTTTTCCGGAGAAAAAAGGTTTAATACATGGTTTTTTCACTTATGAAATAGTGATTGAGAGTGATCTCCCGTGTAGAATTCTCTAAGCGGTGAAAACCAATAAAACGTATGTTTTCAGAGGTAATCAAAAGCACGTGTACTTCCTTCAACGTGTAGAATCATCTATACAGCAAGAAGGAAAAGTAGTAATGGCTTAATTGTAAATTGTATTCAGGGGACAAAGAGCCAACAGATCGTCATTTACCATAATTATGCTCAGTATGCTGGGAAGGGATGTGACATATGCTGAAAGGTAGACCGACTGAGATCATTTCTTAGGTTGTATGAAGGAAGCAACATTCAGTAACTACGAATAAAATTTGAAATAAATCCATGCCAATATTTTTATGTCAGTGTGTTTCAATCAATTCAGTCAATTACATGATAGAATCAGTCAACCAGTCTGACTCTCTTGACCATTGACTTTGTGAATAATATAGCTGTTAAGGGAAGTAACTCAAAAATAAAGATTGGTGCCGGTATGCCCTTGTCTTGTTTCTATATATACATTTTCAGCCAAAATATCTAGAAGTCATAGGAAATAAAGATACAATAATGTATATAATACAAAAACTATATGAAATAAGTGGGTTTTGGAGAATTATTATGGTGAAAAATTATGTAGGTCCCTTTTATCAACATTTTAAATAAGAAATGCAATGGGAATTGCAAAAACACTAATTTGACAAAATCTAAAAAAGAAGCTGGCTTGGTAGGTTAAACAATCCAGAATATAGCCTGTTTAGTGCAATTAAACCTACTCAAGAGTTCTTGAAAAATTCTATACGATAAACAGGAACCTTGCCAATGTCCTTAAGTTAAAATGAATTATGAAATTGAAATTATTATAGAAGTAACTAGAGCGAGCTCGTTGCAAAGCAACGAATAGGTCTTCCGTTGGAGCTGCGGAAGGAAGAAGTGACCTTGAGTCAAGGTCATGCCACATTCTAAAGTTTTACATGTAAGCAATCTTGTAAGGGGAAGCAACTTACAATATTTCGCTAGGAAAAACTGTAAAGGAATGTACGTGACCTTGAACATTCCAAATGCCTTGCGTCAAACGATGACACACTCTCGTCATAAAACCCAATGTGTGTGTTACGACTTGAAAAGTTCACAGTGACATGTCATGTTCTTTTAGTCCATACATACAGTCAAAACATCTAATCCTTAGTGACCTTGAACTTGAGTCAAGGCCATGTCACACTCTGCATGATACCAGCAATGTTTCACTAGTACAAATACGGTAGCGAAATTACAGTTTCTCTGTCAGTGGCCTTGCATCAAGGCCATAACACACACTGGTTAAAAGCAATCCCAGTCTGTGAGTTTCTGAATGGATAAGTTCAGCCATGTTTTTTCAGATCATACAGCGAGTCGGAATAATTTGTTAGGTTCAACATAATGATTAAAAAATTCAATGAGAATGTTTTATGTCCAGTTTGGATAAGTAGTAAAACGTGGAGATCGGTCCTTTGGATGAGACCGTATAAGGTCTCGTGTCGGGGTAAGTGCTAGCATGAAAAGGATCTCTCATGCTATAAATTTTGAATTTACCAGGCGGCAGTAAATACTGACAACCGGTAAGTTCAAAATTTACAACATGACAGATCCATGGCACTTGATTCTACCTCTGATTTCAAAAGATTTGCACTGTTCCTGATTTGTATTGTTTGAATGGTCTTTTAAGCTTGAATGCTGTACAGGTGCTTGTGGACAGGACCCCCCCTCCCCCCCCCCCCCAATATACACCCCGGGGTCCAAGAATATTTTTATTCGTCTTTTTCCATAAATTAATCTTCTAGTACACATTTACAATGTATTCCATATGGAAAATCCATAAAAATAACGTGGAATTAACGTTTTATTAAAAAATCATACCCGCGGTATTATGAAATAGAGAAGGTAAGTCACTTCCATTTGTTAACACTGGACCCCTCTTGGATATCGGGCCTAAAATATCATATACATGTACCTACCACATGTCACCAAAATATGCTATTATATCTTGTTTCGGTAGATATTTTTGTCTTTAATCGTGCTATTTAAACGGAAGACCTTATACAGTGTCTGTGGCTGTCACTATTTCGGTGTTTTTCAGAAACTTGATCGTAGAATTAGTCAAAGTCCACAACTGGACAATAAACTGATAAATCGGCTACAGTATATTATCTGTTCACAGAAACGACATATTGAAGCTGGAAAAAAAAATAATCCAGAAGCAATTCATTTCATTGAAATTCTATCATGAATATTTTGTTTTAATCGATGGACTCGATAAATCAATAAACTGACCGAAGGAAAAACGTTGCACGTGCCGTAACATTCTGTACGTTTTTTTTTTTTTTTTTTTTTTTTTTTTTTTTTTTTTTTTTTACATTCTACTTATGTACATATATGTTAAACAGAAACATAAATACCAAGCCCGTCGGCATTTTAAAAAAAGTAATAAAACATAATTTAATTTGATCTTTTTTATTTCATTTAAACTCTATTAATTTGTTTTAAAAGTATGATTGATCTTTTTCCTTTTAATATACACTCAGGGTAAAAAAAAAAGTATATATTGACTCGCGTATCTTTCATGGTTGTATTTACATTTGAAAATGAAGAAATAATGAAACGTTGAAGGGACTGGTGTGTTGTATGGCTAGACAACGCCTTGCACATGCAGAGAAATTTACCACAGGTACTCTAGGACAGGTGTGAAACCCCTAGGGCATGCCGTTTCCTGCTCTTGCTCTGCTAATCCCTATACACAGAAAATGATCGCGACTAATACTTAATACACAAAGAAACAGAATATATTCAAGTAAGCTTGGCATTGATTTTTTTTTTTTTTTTTTTTTGAGTATTATTGAGAATAATAAGTTTTAGTGATATATCTCCCCCCCCCCCCCCCCGTTTTAATTGTTTTATGAAGTTCATCACCATGCACATTCCATCTTCTGTAATTGGAGAAATGTTTAAATTAAAAACAAACCACTGTTTACAAAAGAAGTAAATATCGAGGGGAAAAAAATTGTTATATTTTATTGATATCTTTTATAACGTTCACGCGCCCACTCACTGCAAACGCTCACCATCGAATATTACAGCTTTCCGGTCATTCGACAATTTCAGGGAAATGCTTGCACATTAATCAGCTGTTAATACAGTAAAGTGAAATTATTTAAATGAATTATATTGTTCTAAATTTGGTTAAAAAAAAAAAAAAAAAAAAAAAAAAAAAAACATGAACAGTATATAGATATATTTTTTTCCTCATAGGAATGCTGAAAACTGTTAATCGGAACTCGCACTGACTATTGTTTAGCACGTGTACATGTATGTAACATTGCAGATCGCATATAATTTGAAAAGAGAAGTTATTAGAACTTATATTTCCGATATTAAAATTTGTCACGTTAAACTCTCAAATGACTCAGCTTATAAATAGTTTTCTTGATACTATTTAAAAAAAGATGTCGCTTTAGTATTGATATATAACTTAACAAAATTAATAATAATAAATAAAATAAAAAAAAAAAGATTAAATATATTCTGCTTTACAATTTTTTTTTTGTTCATTCATTATTTTCACCTTTTGCGAAATAAAAGAAAATACTTTCATAAATATACATACACTGCGGGATTTAAATTTGTTTTTTTTTAAGAGGGAATTTCGCAAAATTCCTGTTCGGGGAGATAACTCCCGTTTGTTTACGATACTAGTTGATCGATGATTTAACCGCGGCGGGGACAGGTAGGTGATGAATTTCTCGCGGAGGGAACGCGGTTTACCTGTCTCACCTGGCCAAATCCCGCGTTGTGTTTATACCGCGACGGGGCGCGGGAAATACGGGATCCGCGTTGCCTGTACTGTACATGTAGAGTCAATCAGATTAGAAATACAGCGACTATCAGAATTTCGGGCCGTAAAAAAGATCTGATTTTGATTAGATTTCAGGTGTAGTCGAATGTGTGTGTACTGAGGGGTTAGTTAATTCATTCAAGATTTATTATATTGTTCGTTTGGACGAAGGCTTCATAAAAAATATACACACTGCTTGTACAGGTACACATCAATGGATGTTCAGATTAATTCAAAAATCGGCGGACATTGATTTATTTTAGTTATCTAAAGGCAATGTTATTTCCAGAGACATTTATATTTTCTGTTTTTTGTCTCGGATTTTTCTTTTTTGTGATTTTCCGGTTTACAAAGGTCTGTGTTTTAACAGCTGTTCATAAACGCTGTCAATTAATATATGATCAGAGAAAACGAGACATCTCCCGGTAATTCATTTCTTATGGAAAATATATGGATTGACATCTTAGTATTTACCTGTGTAATTACGATGTTACAAACCGTGACGATGACTGGCCAGGAGGACTACCCGTTATTAAAACAACTCATGATCAACTCAGCGGACCTATAATTGACTTTAATATATGTTGTAAATCAATAAAATCATTTCAGTTTAACCGATATTT